AGTACCGTACCACATCACCAGTACCTCAGAACAGTTACCAGAGGTCTTTGTGTGTATGTAGGGTTGGGGGTAGAGAGGGAACAAGAAGACTCTTACGACAGCACTAGTGAACATAAAATTATTTCTGTGAAAATAAACAGCAATGGCCTGGATGTAATTCCTGCCAGGTGGTTGCCCTGGAGATGTTACGTATAGAGATATTCTTGTGCCACAACACTGGCAAAGTCCAACTGTTTCTGAAGGCTATTCCACTTCCTAGAGGCAGGCAGTAATTTTGTTGTATAATCTAACCCAAGTTGCTATCAAGTAGTAGAGTCTCTGCATGAAGACAGCTGTTTTGTTGGACAACCATCCTTGGCCCTTAGTGAAAACAAATAGCAGCCACAACTGTCTGATGAAACTGAGGTAGTTCAGTAAAAAACAACAACAACAACAAAAACCAAAAAAACCCAAACAACAAAACAGTAAGAAAACTTGTTGTCTTTTTCATACAGGAGGAATACAGAATGCCACCTACTCTCTGAGAAAAGAAAACAAAACCAAAAAAACCCAAAAAAACCCCAAAACTCAAACGCAAACAAAATCAACCAAAAACCTGCACGGGGTAGTGAACAGTTTGTTTCAAGCTGAAAGAGTTCTCCAACAAGTGGACAGAATGACCAGATTTTGGTTATATTCTAAGGCAGTATGGGATTTTTGACTGGAAGAAATACAACAACCTACATGAACTTGACAACAGGAGTACATTAATTTATACTGTGATTGCTGCATTTAATAGCTGCTGATGGGCTTTGCCTAATTCTATTAATTCTCCACTCTTTTCCAACCCCTTTATATCTCTTTCCTTCCTAACATTCTGCAGCAATAGTTTCTACAGTTTAATGATGGACCTTGTAAAAGCTGAAAGTTACTGAAGCTTGGTTTAGATCTACAGCCTAATAATATAATGATCTATCTCCACATTGTCATGATTTGAGAAACAAGGAGTATTTCCCTATTCACAGCTTCAGAGCAGTTTTGCAAGATGCAGCACTTAAATGCAACATCATTTTGCTGAACAATTAGGTCCTACGAACATTGACTTCTAAATAGCCTAACGCTATCCTTCGACACATCTTCCTAGGGGCTCACAAATCATTCTTAAATCGGGTACAGAAGAAAACAATTATATGAAAGAAAGAGAATTGGCACACCAAGCTCCTGCAGCCCTGTGCAACTGTGACAGACATAAGGAAGACAGATTAGTTTAACAAGTGACTGGACAGACTGAATTTGAAATGTTACTAGTTGAATCCCAATTTTGGTTTATTTTGCATGAACCTTCATTTATTTGTGTTATTGAAAACATACCATAACTCATCTGTGATAGATTAATATGGATTTTTGAATTTCCACTAGTCCATTTAAGATAAATGGGTTTTAATAAGTTTAATTTCAAGTTATTAGAAGCATTTTATAATACCAACATTAATTTTAAACAAATTAGATTATATTGACTTTTAAAAGAAGGCCTTCTTTGGAAGATTTATAATTTAAACAGTCTTCAGGAACCATTGTAATGGTTTCCTACTTAAAGTTAATTCTCCTGTGAATCCATGGAAGACAAAAAAAAACATGATCTATGGAAGCTACACTTTGCAATATTGTCTACATACAAGCTGACCTACAGATTTCTCAAGGGCTAAATGGTGATTTTCTCTCTATTCTTTAAATTCTTTTGAGAATGAAGTTCTACTAGCTTATCTAAATTAAATTCTCTGTTATAGGTTTATGGCATGTACTACAAGCTTCCGAGGATTTACAAGACACTACCAAACACTTTACCTGGACTACCAACTGGACTGGAAACAAGAACAGAAAATCAAAATGCCAGAATTTTTATTCAGTGAGTTTGTAGCATGTTTCAATCTCTCAAAGCATATTTCAAAAGGTGAAGTACTATGTCGTATATAATGTCTCACTACCTGAAAAATACAAAATGAAAGGTCAAAATGGACTCATGACAGATCTCTCACCTATATTCCTTTCCAAAAGTTAGAAGTCAGTTATTATTACTTTCAAAATATCACTATTTTTATCATATTCAATGCTTTTAGAAATGAGGAACTGAAAACCAAGTTTTTTTCTGATGCTCTGCTGTTTTCATTCATCTATGAAACCGTAACTACTACAGACTCACAGACCATATTGCCTATCACCTATTTCATGGAGCACTAAGTGAAAATACCTTCCAACTCACAATTATTTGCAAACATTTCTTCACAAGGGAAGACTGGAAGACTCACTATTAAAAGTGTGTAATAATTAATTCTGTCACATGACTCCAAGTAAAATTTGTAGATCAATAGATAGACTTTGTACATTGCACTGACATTCCAGATAAAATGTCCAACACAACAAAACTTTCTGTATAAGCACCACCTCTCTGCAAAACCATTGTACCCACAAAGAGCCCCATAAGTGCTAGAACCACACCATATCTAACTCATGATTCCCACTTTTCTGTACTCTGGAACTGAAATAACTGCTCTGCAGTGAGATGGGATGTTTTCTCAGCAAGAAGGAATTCTAATTCTAATCAAAAGAGCAGTAAAAGGCTTAAAGAAGTTGGGGGGTTTAGCATACAGGCATATATGCTCTACTTCAAAGACTTAATGTTAGGAACAAGGATGTTCAAATATTCCTCTAAAGTCCATATATATTAATTTTGCATAATGTTTCACACATACCAAAAAAAGAGTCAGAACAATAGGGAAGACTTCCATACTTTTTCAGACACATTTTTGCACATGACCCATGTTACTTTCAATTTAATTCAGAGCATCATTGTATGCTGATCAGCAATAATTCAATACATAAAAATACACAGACATAAAATCTTAAGATATCAAACCCAATTCTTTTTGGTTTGTAATAAAGACTGTCTTCAGACATCAAATAGGAGTCAAAATCTTCTGTTTATGCTTCCTATACATGCTTCCAGTTAACAGTTGTCTGCTTCAATCACAAATACCCTAGTCACATACCTGCTTATAGTATAATTACAAAAATAATACATAATTTAGAAAAATCTTGCCAGCTTTGTTGTTGTATCTTATTATCTAAGTTTTTGCTTTACCCTAGTGCTATGAAAAGTAGCAAGTATTACTTACATTTCCTACACATACACAATTAAGGGACAACAATATTTAACAAAAACTTAACAAGTTATAAACGTCCAATAATTTGTTCTTTAGCTAAAAACTAGTTTCTACAGTTAAAGCAAAGGCTATGGGACAATTTTTATGTGTTCAAATAGAAAAAAATGCACATCTGAATTACCAAGATGAATATCTCTATCAATAAATTAATCAAACTTGTTTTACCGAGGACAAATGAGGATCATTGTACAGTCTTCTGTACCCATGAATGATTCACTAACCTACACACTCATCAGCATTCTGCACCCAGTCTCACAACTACTATGCCCCACACCTTTGTCCATTTGGCCAAGAAGACCCACAGAAGTTAATGAAAAGTTCAGAGTCTCAAGGCATTTGGATGCACACCATAATTGATAGCTGGAATTTAAGCTATTAAATGTCTTCTGTATTATCAAAAACTAATTCAGTCTCAAAAATTCAGACAAATACGTTAATAATATAGAAGAGTGAAAAGTAACACTTTAAGTTGCCTTATATTGCTATCTCTTCTTGACATTGTTGCAGAAATGAATGAGGAATACTGAATCATGAATACCAGTCTTATCACTTATACGAATTACAGCACTAATATCAACTACAGCAAGGAATAAGTTCCTTCTTAAGGACATAGATCTATAAAAGGTAACCCTGAGTAGCACACACTTTTCATGGATTTAGTTCTTTAAAGTGATAGCTAGTTTTAGCTGTAGATATCTAGTTTTTAGACATCAAATTACCTTCTCAGTGTCTGTTATTTCAGATATTTTGCTTCAACAGAAGTGTCGGAATTTATTTTAATTTCTCAAACTGAGAATATTTGGAATTTTTCAATAAAACAGAAATTATATCAACTGCAGGAGGGGGAAAAAAAAAAGACACAGACATATTCCATAGTGCCCAAAATCCCACCTGTGCTGCTATTAACTAGGGCTCATTGATACCACACTCAAATCCTTGATTTGAATTGCAGCTGTGAAGTACTTCTTCAGTATTCGCTACACCATACCAAGAATTATTATCTAAATTAATTGAGTCTCAGTCTGCCATATTGTCTGAGAGCTCCCAGTGTCTTTAGTATCTTAGGAAACTAGGGATTTATCTTCCCAGCCTGGGAAAAAGAAAACCTTTCAAACAAGCATTTTCATCAAAATAATACTGTTCCCAAAAAAACTTTTGATTTACATCTATTAGTAATTTATTTCCAACCAGCCCCAGTAGGAAGGTCTATCTGTCAGAGTAAACCAAGTCTTGAAGTACTCTAGAGTCTACTCTTGATACATTTTTTTTTCTAATAGAATAATTTACTCCAAACCAGTTCCACCATATTCCCTACAGATTCCTATACACTGCAGTGAAGGCAGTCATCTATACAGGTTCCTTGTCTCAAAAATAAAATAAAATAAAATAAATTTTAAAAACCAACAAAAATGTGAAAGAAACAGAAAAACCCCAGACCTCTAAAACCCCCCTACTTTTATTTGCCAACCACAGTATGAAACACCAGCCAGACACTCCAAAAGAAAAATCACAGCCCTATTGAAAAAATGCTGTACAATTACCTGCCTTGATACGTGACAGAGATATTCTAAGAAACAAGCATTATTTGCACCCGTGTACCTGTCATGAGAGAGTGAGCAGTTTTGTGTAGCATTTCTTGTCTCATTAAAAAGGAGACAGGTACAATGCTGACATTCCTGTTAAGAATAGATAGAAAGAAAACACTGGAAAGTTCTCGTTGTCTAGGATACTGATTTAAAATCCACTGAAAAGCTGCACTATTCCTACAAAGATCCAGAGACTAAGGCTTAAAATACTTACTTGATAATGTCTCCTTCAAGAGCGATCACTCGTTTAATGATCTTCTGTTCAGGGTTTCTAGGAGACCTGAGACAGGGGATAAGGTTATACAATCAGTAATGTTCCCATTGTTTTAAGAAAATTAAAAGAAATTCTGCAAAGAAATAGACACTATTAAAGTCATTAGGTAATTCCATGTTCTTCCTGATACAATGTTAATCATGATGTTCCACCCTGACGTGAAGCTACCATAATCATTCTCATTGCAAATCATCATTGAAAAGCAGATGCTGAAAAATGACCTGCCTACAAACACCACAGTAATCAACATACCTTTTACCGTGAAAAATACACTCCACATCATTCAAAGCAGAATGTCCCACTACCATTGTAGTGAGTACCTTTGCAAATAGATTAATATATTAAAACCTGAACTCTTCATCAAACTTTAATATCACATTGTGTTTAAACATTCATGTCATTCACTTACTTTGGAGGAAAAAATCTCCTTGCATTATATTAATATCTTTCACTAATTTAAGTAAACTTTGCCTAGGGAATTGTGGAAGTTTAAAAAAGTTGTAAAATTTTCCGAAAGTTTCAGCCGTATCGAAAGCTTCTTATTGCAATACCATGTTTTCACCTCAAGTTATTTTCCTACAAGCTCATTCTATTGATTGGATTCTGATCATGCATTACATAGTATTATGAGAAAGCAAAGCTGAACATGCATGCCCAGCCTGAAGACTCCAACTTCCTGCATGCATATGAAGAGATAGGATTACTAGAAACATTATTTTACAATAGTTTTGACAGGTTAATGTAGACATATGTGCACCATAAAATTTATTTCTTTTCTATATACTTTATCTCCTTCTTTCATTCTTCACTTTCAACTATTTAACTATGCAAACTTAGTAGAGTGTTGTCATGTTATTTAAAACATTCTTTTTATTTGCTTCTTATATATAGGTAAGCCAGTGTAGGAACAAATGGTTTTGATTTTCTGCTGATGCTTGGGTTCTGTGTATTAGACTCCAAGTACAGTCTGCTAGACATGAAATCGCAAGAACATTATATCACAGTTTTCATGCCTAAAAACATTCGCCATGCCATCCCTACAACAGACCAGTACCTTTGAGCTCATCTCTGGTCAACTGGTAGCACAGTAAGACTACATTTCCTTAAAAAGCAAAGCTGAGATGAGTCTGGCTGAAAAACTTGTCTGCACTGCTGCATGACTAAAGGCATTTGTAGTTCACTTGCAGTTCCAAAAGTTAAAAGGAAAAATAGTTGCATGCTTACTCAATTTTATTAATATGAATCCAAAAAAGTATTCCAAACATTATAAAAGTGGTTTTGGTCTTTTTCTGTGTGTCAATATATTTTAACTATATTTATATTTTAAAGTAATGAAATAAATTCAAGAAGCATAATTCTGAATTTCAAAATATTAAATAGTTTCACTTTACAGTTTACCAAGCCTGAAATCCTATTTTCACAAAGCAACGTGGACCAGTGAACATTAATAAGGACCACACTTTGATTCCCTAATCATCACTGTAATTTTCAAATCATTATATCATTCAGAAGAATATTTTGTTTAACATTAAATTTACCCAGAGTTGCATATTCTAGTTCAGTTTTGTCTTTCATGTTCTTTATCAGGGTGAGAATACATATTTTTGTAATATTTTACATGTCAGTGTAGGGAGGAATTAATCAAGGTTTAGATGCTTTTATGATTCAGATATCTGGATTATCCACAGCACTTTCTGATGCTGCTCCCTAGCAGGCTCCAATGCACACTCCATTTGAGCATTGACCACCTCTCTCTCAATCAGCACATAGTCAAAGAAAAAAAACCCACCCCTTTAATTATAAATTAAAAATATTTGCAAAATAACTTTACTGTTAATTGATTTAATTTTTAATTCATTTAGGCTCAGAATAATATTTTTATGTAAAATTTAATTAATGGAAATAATAATACATAATGTATATGGTGAACTTGTGCATTTCTCAAAGACTGAATAAAACCAAATTTTAAGCTTACTCTTTCAAAATCATGCTCTGGTTTAACATCTTACTTTCAAAGGTTCTAAATCGGTTCAACAGGGCGAAGTGCAAGGTCCTGCACATGGGCTGAGGCAATCCCTAGAACAAATATAGGCTGAGTGGAGAATGTACTGAAAGCAGCCCTGAGGAGAAGGATTTGGGGGTGTTGGTAGAAGAGAAGCTGAACATGACCCAGCAATGTGCACTTGTGGCCCAGAAAGCCAACCGTGTCCTGGGCTGCATCAAAAGAAGCATTAGCAGCAGGTCGAAGGAAGTGATTCTCCCCCTCTACTCTGCTCTCGTGAGACCCCACCTGGAGTACTGCATCCAGCTCTGGGGCCTCCAACAATAGAAGGTCATGGACACGTTGGAGCAAGTCCAGAGGAGGGCTGAGAGAATTGGGGTTGTTCAGCCTGGAGAAGAGAAGGTTCCAGGAAGACCTTATAGCAGCCTTCCAGTACCTAAAGGAGGCTACAGGAGAGATGGGGAGGCACTCTTTATCAGGGAGTGTAGAGATAGGACAAGGGGTAACGGTTTTAAGCTGAAAGAGGGTAGATTTAGATTAGCTATTAGGAAGAAATTTTTCACTGTGAGGGTTGACAACTGGAACAGGTTGCCCAGGGAAGCTGTGGATGCCCCACCCCTGGAAGTATTCAAGGTCAGGTTGGATGACACTTCAGAACGAGCCTCTCTTACCTGTTCAATCACTGTGGCTCTTGAACAAAGCATTCTGCTCGCCTCTTTAAAATCCTTGGCCTAAAATTCCCGATGTTATTGGCCACTTTGAGTCTGCTGCTCCCTCACTTACCAGTCCTTTGCCTTTTTCATGAATTATAAACAAAACATTAATATAAAGGGTTTTTTAAAGTATTCTGACTTCAAATACGAAAAAAAAAAATCCCGATTTATAATAATAGAATCATAGAATAGAATAGAGTGGGTTGGAAGTGACCTTAAAGATCTTCGAATTCCAACTCACCTGCCATGGGCAGGGACACCCTCCACTAGACCAGGTTGCTCAAAGCCGCATCCAGCCTGGCCTTGAACACCTCCAGGGATGGGGCATCCACAGCTTCTCTGGGCAACCTCCTCCACTGCCTAACCACCCTCATAGGAAAAAATTTCCTCCTAATATCTAAATCTACCCTCTCTCAGTTTAAGCCCATTACCCCTCATCCTACCACTACACTCCCTGATAAAAGAGTGCCTCCACATCTCTCCTGTAGGCCCCTTTTAAGTACTGCTGCTATAAGGTCTCCCCGGAGCCTTCTCTTCTTTGGCTGAACAACCCCAATCTCAGTCAGTCCTTACAGGGGAGAGGTTCCAGCCCTCTGACCATCTTTGTGGCCCTCCTCTGGACTTGCTCCAACATGTCCATGACCTTCTATTGTTGGGGGCCCCAGAGCTGGATGCCGTGCTCCAGGTGGGGTCTCAGGAGAGCAGAGTAGAGGGGGAGAATCACCTCCCTCGACCTGCTGGTCATGTTTCTTTTGAGGCAGCCCAGGATACCATTTATTGGTGGCTTTATTTGTAATTATATGGTGATAGAAAAACCAGACTTATATACATACATACACACACACATATTTATATACACACACATAAATTTATATAAGCATCCGTTCTTCTGTGTTCAACCCTGTACTGATCAGTGTGGGACTGCAGTACTACAAAACATTTGACAGGAAAGGCAAACAATACAGCCAGCAGGAAAATCTACTGTTTAGCAAGTGATTGTCAGATAAAAATGCTGACAATTCTCTGAAGGTTTTCTCCTTTCTTAATTGAGCCACTGAGTACTTCAGTCACAATATTGCTCCTAAAATGTTCCCTTTCCATCATTTGTATTATTTATTTACTCTAGTGGATACAGCTTAGCACAATTTTAAATAATTACTTCATAAGCTAATTAACATTTGATCAATCATTAAATTTTCATGACATTTCCACTTTTTGTATGTGTTATTTGACTGTTCTTTCATTCTCTGTGTTAACTATACTCTTCTCAAGAGTGCGCACAGCAAATCATGCTTAAGAGCTTGAAACTGAAGTCTCTACAGGCTTTTCTAGAGAGAGAGTGTTTTTTAAGCTATACTTAAGAGCCCAGCAAGATAAGCGAAGGAAGATGGTCGATTCACTTTTGCTTTCCAGAGGGATATATTAACATGTATCCCCAAATGCCATGTGATATCACTCCCCACTGAGCATGCACTCTCTGTAATAAACAAAAAAAATGTAACCTACCAGTCCTGAATGATGATCAAACACAATGTTTGATGCTCAGACACACAGCAGACACTCTAAAAGCAATTATATTGTTCAACAAATATTAGCACAATAGCTAGCACAAAAAGCGTGAAGAAATTAGACTTGAACAGTGAAGTCCAATTAAATAAATGCTACAACATATGATTTTTTTCCTTGAATTATCACTCAGATTTTCTGTGTGCATGCATTAGAAAAAGGAGACCTTATACTGTCTTATACTGAATTTTGGTATTTACTGAGCATTTTCTAGAACAGGACAAATAGCAGGTCTTTATTAAAACGTTGCAGTGAAAAGTGACTGAAGTTTTCACTGTTTATAAATATGTATCTACGTATATGCATATGTATGTATATTACTCTTAGCGCACGGCTTTTTATGAGATAGAAGCAAGATGTTTAGGTAGTAGCTGGAAGTTTGCCTTCAGATTATTCTCAATTTACATCAGATTGAGATTTATGTAATTTCACTATCACTTATATGGAGGCAACGGAAACAAGGAACACTGTGTTGTTATAGCATGAACAGACTGAAATAACGAAGGCCACCTTTTTCAGAAACATTATTTCTGCTTTTATTTATGTTGTTAATGCCAGATATTGAGAAGGATTTAACTCCATAAAACAGGGTAAAGGGGAGCTTTTGAGATCTTAGACTAACACTGTGATCCAAAGCCATTCACTCAGTGACCTCTTCATTTCCCAAAACTAATTCCCATCTGATCAAAAATTCCAGCACAGTTACAGTTTATGCTTCTAGGAATTTATAGAACTACTGCAGGATAAAAAAACCAGGTTTTTATCTCCTTCTGGGGCTTTTGGGAGATCCAGAAAATAGCTAGAGGAGTAACTAAAATGTAAATGGCACCCAGAATCAATGGCACTAATATATCTACAGAACTGGGAACCTCAAAGTACAGTTTTGATGGCTTTATTTTTAACCATGCTTGGAGGAAGATAAAATAGAGAGGCTGTGGAGTTACCTATTTTCTGGTCTTGCTTAATAAGATAAACAGGGAGTTTTACATGGCTGCATCATACAGAGAAGATGAAGATCCTCAAAAAA